AACCCCCCAACCCCCCAAACGAAACTTCTCTGTTCAAAGTTTTCTTTGCGGATTCGGGGAGATCTCGGTGAGCGCAGTCCAACCATGTTTTCAAAAAATAAAAATAAAAAAAAAATGACCCACTTTTGGACCCAACCGGAATTCCGGTTGGACCACCGGGGGTCCAACCGGCCCGGTTGGATCCGGGCCGGTCCAACCGGCCGGTTGCCGGCACAGCCATGCCGTACGTTGTATTCGGGGGAAAAAGGTAGTTTGTGCCATGCCAGCCTTGGTTGGGCTAGTAACTTAATTAATAATTATTAATTATCCATTTGATCTGGAGGGCTTTTGTTTCCTGCTTAGGATCGATTATCCGTAGTCGTCCCTTAGATGCTTTCCTTGTTATATTGTCCCAGGCTAGTGTCAATGAACTTTTTAAGCTCTGTCAAAAATCAAAACAGGATGCGCACTTACTATCGTTTAAAATTTTCGAGAAAGCCTATGATCGATCATGTGAACTGTTTTTTTCCTGGATAGATGCCTAAGAAATTGAACTGTGGGCCCACCTTTCACGGATGGGTGGAGATTCTCCATCACAATACGACAATAAGAGTCCAAGTAAATGGCAATCTAGGCCCACCCATCTCACTACGGCGGTCAGTGAGGCAATGCGACCTCATTGGCCCCTTCCTTTTTCTGATCATCATGGAGGCATTGGCAGCTAACCTTCAAACTCGTAAGAAAATCAGTAAACTCAGGGTCGCCTTTATCCCAAAGGAGGCCATCCCCATTTGCTCCTTGTTTGCCGATGACTTGATTTTCATGGTGGACGCCACACTAGATAACCTACTCGAGGTACAAAACTTGACGGCCCGGTTTTGTTCCCGCTCTGACATGAAGGTCAACTGGGGGAACAAATCCCTGGGGTGGTGGATTCACTACCAAGCCGGCCGGCGCCCAGAAGTTCCTAAGATTTAGTTGCTCCCGACAGAGACCCATTTGAGTTCTGGGCGCCTCCATGACGGCATAAGACTGCCCGGCAGCAAATGACAACTGAATCACACAACCCGTGCTATACAAACTTGGTCTGTAGAAGGACAAGCACACCTCCTTAATAGGCCGCACCGTAGTCATCAGAAACGTCGTCACAACC